CGTAAAGTTACAAACTTTACGTGCATGCATGGGACTTTGAGCTCAAAAGGACATAAAATAAGCTCTTATAATGCATCGGACCTTCCTTGGGTGCAAAAGCAACCCAAATCTGCCTTGTGACTCCCTTAAAGACCTGATTCCGAAGCCTCAACCCCAACCATGTTTGCAATCATGGTTGGTTACCAAGAATGGCTTATAAAAGCCCTAAATCTCCCCAAAAGGGATCTATCAAATGAAAGAGCAAGGTTACAGCTTTATACCTCCAATGAACCGTGGAAGATGCACAAACTCGGTTTCCCCTGGTTTTCACTTGCTTCCTCAAGCTTTTCCCTTCCTCCTTATGGTCACAACTAGCAAGATCCACCAAAATGCTTTAGTTCTTCTAAAAAACGGCTAGGGTTTGCTTATGGGGAGTTCTGGAAGCTTTGGGGACGAAAAGGAGGCTGAATAAGTAGTTTAAATAGGGTGCAAACCATCATCTAGGGTTTTTGTCCGGACTGCGCCTACTCGCCGAGTCCGGACGCGGACTCGTCGAGTAGGTCATTAAACTTCTGTGTCCAATACGCTCCGACTCGACGAGTTGGACCTCAACTCGCCGAGTCCAAGGCCAAAATGCAAAATACAACAAAATAAATTACATACCAGGAACCGAGTGCTACAATTGGTCACGTATGCATGACCTACTAGGGCTTAAAAGACCAAAAAGATGGTCTAAAAGTTGCATGGGATTTCCATGGCCATAAAGTTGGCACCTTTATGCCATGAAGTCCCCTCAAGACCCTAGATCTAAAAGGTTTGCCTACATAGGACGTCAAAATCCCAACAACCAACATACTTGGACCAAAACATGAAGAAAGCATCCTAAAACTAGATCTAAGCATACCATAAACAAGGTTGAAGCTTTATACCTCAGATGAACCAGAAATGAAGCCCAACTTCTAGATCTACAAGCTCTCTTCAAGTCCTTGCTCCTTCTTCAAACTCCTTGCTCTTCAAAACCACCAAAACAACACCAAAATGCTCAAAGTAAGCTCACAGTCACCAAAAATGGCTTAGGGTTTCGTGATTAGGGTTTTGGACAGTGGAAGCTGGAAATGAGGCCAGCTTATGGGGGTTAAGGTGTTTAAATAGGGTGCAAATCCCTGAAAATTAGGGTTTCATTCTGCCAACCGACTCATCGAGTTGAGGCCTCTCAACTCGTTAAGTAGGTTTCTTAAGTAGGTTTCTTAACCCGCATCCCAATTCATCCCTCCTCGACGAGTATGAGGCTCCCAAGTAGTCGAGTTTCTCTACAAAAGTGAATAATTTATAGATTTAAATACATACCAGGAACCAGGCGTTATAGCGTGTCTCCGACAGATCACCGGTCTATACCTTTAGCGGCGACATTGACTTTTAGCGGCGACAACAGGTATGTCTCGTCTGATGTCGTTGCTAAACGTGTCGTCTCTAATACTCTGTTTTCTTGTTGTGACTATTGTCGCCACCAGCCACCAACACGCAGCCGCCACCCACCACCACCACCGCCACCACCACCCATCACCATCACCACCGCCAACATTTATTATTTTTATAATTTATATAACATGTCTTTACATATAAACTATAAACACAAAGTAAAATTAGGCAAACAACATACATGACAATTTTGTAATTTTATATTACTAAAATCAAATTCAGCTGATATGTCGTTGACAAATTTCAATTCATTTACAATATTTTACAAACCAGATGCAGATGTTAGACTACTATCAATGTTTAATGTTAATATATCCTAAGATTTATGAAACATGTTATATCACGTTTTAAGGATAAGAATGTGATATGCACAAATTAAACACGATTTCAAGAAAAAAAAAAGACCGAATGACCAACTAAAAAGTGGTTTAATGATTAATTTCAACTTTGACCTGATCTAAATTAAACCACAATAAATAATAGTAAATACTTGAGTAAATATATTATGTTTTTCAGTTATAATATAATTTTATAGTAAAATCATAGTTTAGAATATCCCATAATCATATGAATATACAGTTAAACCAATGACAAAAAAAAGTTAGAACATAAAATTATTTATTTATTATTCCTACACAAATATCATTCTATATTTTACCTATTAATTTTTAAATTTTCTGAAATAGTTAAATAAGCCTCTTTTTAGAGCATTAGGTATTGGTCAAGTTATAACACCAAATTCATATGCCACCTCAACCATAATATCAATGGAAAAATGATGTTCCTATGTTATAACATGTTAAGAAGTAGAGAGAAAGAAAGAAAAAGATTTGATTGGCAACAACCAATTAAACTTCCGGTTGTATCTTGTCTTCGTAAGATGTTTAAAGTTAAACCCATTAATGTGCCACAATTTTACGTCGCGTTAGTTTTTTCTTTGTTCTACAGATGGTTCGTCTCCCTTTCTATCTTTACCCTTTAACAAAAGATTGACCGATTGTTGAACAAACAATCTTATTGATTAACCTAATCGAACGTAGAAACTTTTGTTTATACCGATAAAAGTCTGTAGAAATCTGAATTGAGGCAACTAATTAACAACCATTCGATGTTAAGACCTTCAGGTACGCCATTGTCATTCAGTGAATCAGTTCAGGTACTCTTTGTTCCTCATCCTCCTCCTTCTATGAGTATACATGCATGTCATGATGTTTGTGTGATCACGTAGAAAAAGAGAATCTATCTTCGTATTCAGATCTCATTAGAGCATTATGATTGTGCAGTAAATTGACTATCTCGAATGATGATCCCGTCTCTCATTAGAAAATTAAATATATTTTTCTGTTAGCAATGGATCTGTTATTTATTTATTGTGTAGCTTCAAATTAATTGATCGAAACGTTTGTTATGAAAGAGCTTGACTGACATTTTTGATGTACATAACATAATAATTGCATTAAGTGCAAATTTTCTGTTGAAGTGGTCTATTAATATTGGATATGTGATTCTCCGTTATAAGAAATTATTCATGTATGTGTTGTACTTGGTACATATATGTATTACTTGAAATTTTAATGTGTATAGTGGTGATCACTTGGATTTAAACATTATTTTAGAAGACTTATTGGTGAACCAATGTTTGTGATAAGGAAAGATGCTAATCCGTTTTTAGTTAATGATGATCAAATTAGCCTCAAATTGATGTCCAAGGTAGTGTAAAATAAAATTCTTAGGCCAAAATATATGCTATTGGTATCTTAATTAGAGTCATAACATTGAATAAGATTCAAAGTATGCATCGTGTGTGCTTAACATTCTCCATAATATAACTACTTCAGCAAAACGAAAATGCGTTTATTTTCACTCAACTTACATAGCAATACAACTACCTTCTTACTACTTCTAAATTGACAAAGATGTAACCTTTTTAATGAAGATCTTTTCACCAACCAAACATATATGTATATCCATGTTTATTCCATTTATATTTTATTTGTTTCAAATAAGTTTAGCTATTTTCTTCACCCACTACAATATTTTCCTTGTTCTTCACTTCATTTTAAGCCACATCTTTGCTATCTAAGCACCAACAGTAGTAATCAGACCTTGAGATTGCCAACAGTTCATTAGGACTCATCCTCTCAAGTTCACCCTGCCTCCATGAAGCAAAGTTATTATTGTTTTGGGAATCTGTAGCAAGAGGATAATCCTCCATTCTATGAGCTTGTGATCTCATTCTTCTATAAAGTCTCATCGTTGCAACACAATCATCATAAGGATCTTGTATCCCATTTTGAATATCATACCTATAAGGAAAATTTATCACTAACAATAAGTAACATATCACAAAGTCACATGTCAAACTTTTTTTTAAAAAAGGAAATATATTAGTATTTATTACCCTAGGTAAGATTTTGTTAGGTACTTGAGTGAGTTGCTGAGCTTGCTTGTCTTCATTAGTGGTGGATATTTTGCTGTATCCCTATCAAATAACAAGTGCATATTACTCTTAGTTCATAAGTTATTAGAGTAGATGATAGTAATAATAAATTCCTTAAAGATACATGCCTTATCTTTACTAAAGGATACTCAAGTTCCAAACATTTCATGTCATGTTCCAAACCATGTCCTACAAGAATCTTCGCCTTTCCACCTCTCGAGCGAATCTTCCACATTGGTTCCCCATTACACAAAAAATCTTGAATTTTTCTTTGTACATGTCTCAGTGGCATTGCATCCGTAAGGTACTCTGGTCGAACGCCTGTTGTCTCATACCTATGAAGTTTTTTCATTAAATAAGATTATATATACCTAGGAAAAGATGGCAAAAAGTAACTTTCTATATTTATATAATTATATGTCTATGGACCCTTAAAAAGTTAAAACTATGGCAAAATATATAGCACCTGTAGTTTGTAACAGGAAGTTGTGGCTTAACATATGAATGAAAGAGTATGTTCTCATATTCATCGATGATACAAACTCTTGCACAAAGATCTAAAGAACCATCACTTCCACCACCAACCATTTTGCAAGCAAGTGCAACTGCTCTTGTTTTCCCACTATCGATTCTCAAGTCATCTTGAATGCCCATGTTAGCAAATCTATGTAGTACACCCTGGAACATATATAATTAATTATCATTATACATATATACATCAAAAAATGAATTTTTGTAAGTTTAAGGATATGATTTGTTACGTTATTTCCACGTGATAGTTGACATCTATCTTGGTGAACCCTTAGAGAGTTTGGGCTATTAAGGACGGTTAAGCAAATGGTACATCCATGGTCTCTAAACACCCTTTCACATTCAACCTTTGGCAATGGTCCTGAGAATTAAAGAAATAATTAATATAAGTAAATAACTAAATATCCATAAAGGTATAGAGTATAGTAGTTAAAACATATAATACTAGTAATAGTAATGTAATACCTATAAGATGATCACGAAGAGATTCAAATGAGCGACAACGTTTCCCACAAATTCCACACATGGGTTCATGAACTGAGTGATATGAAATCCTCATGTGTTCCACCAAGTGCTCCTTTTTGTTAAACTGCCTATAGCATGCTGCACATTTGTTCCTAGTAAACAAGAAAAACATGTTAATAATAAGATCAAAATGTATTATTTTCAAGAACTTGTGTGTTAGTTTTTCTATGACAATGTGAGTATATTTTATATTTTATATTTTATATTTTATAAATGGTTACTACCTTTGGGTCTCTGAATCCATTGTTATCTCAACTTTGATGTCAATAAATTTATCAAGACTTTTTAGAAGAAAAATTGAGAGGACTTGTGAGGAAGAAATGGTAGAATGTGCAAGGTATTTATAACATTGAGATAACCTACTACTACTACCACTACAACAACAACAAAAATAATAATAATAAAATAAATAAAAAAAATTGATTCTTTAAGACCGATTTTTGCACTATAATGTATACGGATTGAGTCTCCATCTTTCGAATCTTCATTGCATATGCCCCATTACAAAAAAGAAAAAAAAAACACAGTACAACCTTGGTAGAAGTTAGTCAACACTTGGGATTTATGGAATATTTTTTGCTCCTCTTTATGCTTCTATATGATTGCAATATATATTCCATGTTCACATGCTTTGTGTTCACCTTGGTTACGACATTACATAAGTTAGCATATTTCTATATATTAGGATGACAGTTTTCGTATCTCTTCTATAAAATAATACTACATACTGCATTCACAAAATATAATAATTAAAATCATGTAGCAAATCACATAAATGTAGAAAAATAGATAAACCATGTTATGATACGCACATAATCGTGTTAGTTATAACAAAACCCGGGTTCTAGAATTCCTTGTGTGGTTACTATCATGGGTTGCATGAAAGAAGGAAATTTTATGTGGGGATCTCGGGATGAAAACTTTTGACCAAGAAGATTCCAGCTTTTGAAAATATACCCAATAAAAACAAGATTGTGAAAAAGGGTGCAGCATAATTTTTTGCATGGATACTATTGACATTGGGTCCATTTCGTCCATCTTTTTTGCTATAGTTTTGTTTCTGGTGTAATCTTTTCTGTTCGAATGTCAAATACCAAAACTCTAGGTGGGGCCGGGTCAAAATAAGGAAAAAAGGCGGGTCAAAACAAATTGGACGGGTTGAATTGAGCCATCAGCAATGTTTTTGTCCATTCTTGTGAATTTTGTAAAAACTAGTATACACAATGTCAATAATTCCAATGAATACAACTAGTTAGGGTTATACCTTTACATGATTAGTCTTAAACAACATCAAAATAACCAAAACATTAAAACCGATGAAGCCACACACAAATATAAGAACCATAATGAGAGACACCAGACTACAATTGTTTGCTTAAATTGATTTGAACACTCGGTTCACTAGAATGCTACTTAGGGCAACCAGAATTCATTGAACTCTGTAGAGTTTAATGGATTGCCACATCATCTATTAAACATCTATACAACACATCCCACAATCCATTAAACACCGATTCAATCTTAATCATCACTTTATTCTTTCTAGACAAAATTGCAAAAATGGTGCCTGTGGTATGCATTTTTTTGGGGTTTTAGTCCAAACCACGACTTTTTTGGATTGGTGGTCCTTTTGAGCTAGTTCTGTTGTGTTTTTGGTCCCTCTGAATAGTGAAATGACTTTAATACCCTTGGGATATTTATTTTCCATTTTTCTTTCATTTATTTTAAATCCAATACTAATTTATTTATTTTAATAATTAAAAAAAATAAAAAGGGTCTCTCTCTCTCTCTCTCTCTCTTTTAATCATCACCTTCGTCTCACCATCCCCACAATTCACCTCACTAACAGATAATGCTTCAATGGTGTCTTCACCCCCAAAACCCACTCTGATTCTCGATGTCAATTTTTTTTTGCCATTCTTCAATGATGAAATCAAGTCTTCGAAGAATCTAATTAAACATATCCATCTTTGTCGCATCTGAAACCTTTTTCAGACATGTTCATATCAAGCCCTAGGTGAAGAAATCAACTCTGTGAGACTCACGATCGATGGATTCAGCAAGTCTCAGATATGTTTATATCAAGCCATGTGCATCGTAATTGTCAAAATTAGGTTTTTAGAAAGTGAAACGACAGTAAATAGTGAGCAAATAGAGGAGAAAAAGGATAAGGAGCTCCGACAAGCTCCTCCTTGGTCTATTTGTTCGTCATCGATGGTCCAATTAAGGGGAAGCAGAACAGAACGGCAACAAATAGTGAGAGGGTGACTGCAATCGGTGGAAGAAGGAAAAGCAGTCGGTTCTTCCGGTGAGCTCCTTCTCTCGGTACTCCAACCTTCGATGGTGCAACTGTCATACGGAGTGACTGCGGTGGTGTTTAATCAGTTGTGAGGAGGGCTTAGTTGGCAGAAGATTATTGCCCTTTTTCGGCGACCCTTGTCGGTCCTTTTTCTCTTCTCCGGTAATCACAAACGCAGGGAAGCAGAGCAACAGTAGTTGCGCCGAACAGGATGTGTTTGGTAGCCAGAGTTGATGAAATTGAAGGGAATGGGAGGAGGGTTGCCATCGCTGGTGAAGGTCACCAGTTTTTCTTCTTCTTTGGCCAGAGGTTAAGAGACGAGAGAGAGAGAGAGAGAGAGAGAGAGAGAGAGAGAGAGAGAGGCACTCTAATTTTTTTAATAATTAAAATGAATAAATAATAATTAAATTTAAAAAAAATGAATTTAAAAATAGAAAATAAATACCCAAGGGTATTAAAGTCATTTCAGTTTACCGAGGAACCAAAAACGCAACAGAACTAGCTCAAAAGGACCACCAATCCAAAAAAGTCGTTGTTTGGACTAAAACCCCAAAAAAATGCATACCACAGGGACCATTTTTGCAGTTTTGTCTTCTTTCTATTAAACCATTCAATGATCATTCAACTCCTCCATTCAACTCTACTCAATGTCATCACTCACACTCCATTCAACTCTTATTCAATACCAGTCATTATCTTATTCAACTCTTATACTACTTGCATTGTGGATGCTCTTAGTTATCTCATCCGGCTCCTTGTGCATTTAAAAGAAATATATCTTTATATCAAATGTTAGGTAGTGATTCATCAAACCAATCAAAATATCCACAATCCCCATCCTATTTGGAAAACGTATGCAACCAAATACACATTGGTTATTATCAGTCCAAAAAACTAAAAATCTAGCTGAAATATCATAGTAAAAATTACAAAATGGTTAATTTCTTTGTACGCACACGTACATTTGAGAGCTTGAGCCACATGAAGTGCATAGTCATTCTTCTCTAGATAACTTACCTAAATGTGGAATCTCAATTTATAAAATAAAGAGTTTATAACAATAGAAACATAGAAGAAATAGGACTAAAGTTGAAAAACCAAAACGACTTTGTTTTTTAGTTTATATATAACGGTTCATATTTGTTGCCACCTTATCAAATTGACATGTAACCTTATCTTAATTTTATGTTCACAGCAAAGATTCACAAGTCCTACAAAAATTCATGTCTGAAATTTGGAATTTCGGACAAGGAAAATCTATTGCAATATTCTTATGCTGAAATATTCTTATGTTTAGGTTCATAATCGATTTAGTCATTATCTCTTTCTTTTAGTCAATTAAGTCCAAAAAAAACCGAAAAATGTATTTATTTTGACCATTTTTTAGTCAATTTAGTCGGTTAAGTCCTAAAAACCGGAAAATATATTCATTTTGACCCTTTCAAAAATTACACTTTTGGCCCAGATTTTAAATTTTATTACAAATTTGGTTAAAAATTTATAGTTTTGGCCCAAATTTTAATTTTTATTACAAATTTGGTCCAAAATTTACACTTTTGGCTCAGATTTTAAGTTTTATTATAAATTTGGTCCAAAATTTATAATTTTGGCCTAGATTTCAAAATTTTGTTAAAAATTCATCCTACATTTAATTTTTTTACATCTCTTTTTTTTTCAAAATTTTGTTTTGAATATGTTTTTTTTGCTTTATAAAATCATATTTATACAAACACCTATTTTATAATAAATGCATTTGTATACAAACACGTATTTATAAAAAAATATATACAAACATGTTTTTATACAAATGCATTTATTATAAAATAGGTATTTGTGTAAATCTTTATAAAATACGTGTTTGTATATATTTTTTTATAAAGACATGTTTGTATATAAATGCATTTATTATAAAATAAATGTTTATATAAATATGATTTTATAAAGCTAAAAAAACATATTCAAAACAAAATTTTGAAAAAAAAAGATGTAGAAAAACTAAATTTAGGATAAATTTGTAACAAAATTTTGAAATCTAGGCCAAAAGTGTAAATTTTGGATCAAATTTGTAATAAAATTTAAATTTAGGGCCAAAAGTGTAAAATTTTGACAAAATTTGTAATAAAATTTAAAATTTCAGCGAAAAGTGAAATTTTTGAAAGTTGGATGACCTGTTGACCGGGTAAAAGGGTTAAAATGAATATATTTTCTACTTTTTGAGACTTAATTGACTAGAAAAAGACAATGATTAAATCGGTTATGAGGCCTAAACATAAGAATTTTTCAGTAGATTTTTCTTCGAACAATGCAGTCATTTTGAAAAATGCGTAAAAAGCTAGTTAGATAAATAGTGTTTTTGAATGGTATTTTTGTGATTATTTCACTATTTTATGCTTCCTACTATTGTATTTTTGAATTGAGCATTTTATTTTACATTCAAACATAAGTTACGATTTGACTATGTTATGAGTTAATTTGTTCATATTTCTTCTTGTGATATTTTATGAGTTGAAAGTTTTGTTTAGTTGTGATTTGACCCTGTTCTCATCTGAGTTAATTTGTTTATATTTCTTCTTGTAATACTTTATGAATTGAATGTTTTGTTTTGCTTTCATCTGATTGTACATTTTTTCTGTTATACTTCTCAAATACTTTAAATAGTTTAACATCACGTTAATATCAATCGACATCTTAAAACAATCATAATGCTTTTCAGTCCTCATGCATTTGATCTCATATCGAATTAAACCCAAGGGCTCTAATGTGTTTAATTAATTAAAAAAACGCAGCTCTATTTATTTAACTTTGTCAAATACCACCAAACCATATATTTATATCTTGTCTAGCAAGACTACATAATATAAGTGAGTACGATAAACAACAAAATATCTACGTTTGTTAAATGCATGTCGAGACTTTGAGGAAAGTATATATGCGAAAAGTTTTTG